TCCATCGGAAGATGATGATTCATAGCATTATCACGCTTGAAAGAAAAGGAAGAATTCTCATCTCATTGGTCTAAATGTTCGCTGTGATTTTTTTAAGAGAAATTTGAAATGCTGGCATCGTTATTGACAATCAGAAGAATTTCGGCGTTATATATATAAAACGCTTGAATTATTCCTTAATGGGCACCCATATAAGTATCTCATCGCTATGTTCTAAAGCAGTCTATAAAACTCAGTGTAATATATTAATTTATACATGTATGTGTACGGCGGAGTGGTAGAAGTTCTTTGTGACACTCACATAATCATTGGTTCATTCCGACTTTTATCCTCCGGAGTCGGTGAATCGGTGCCAGATTTGTTTGGAGTATCACAACACTGACTTGATACATGGGCGGGGTCACCACGAGCTACTGTAAAAACCAGATTTGCATTCAGTCCCAGAAGATGCTTGATAAAATCGAATGCATGGCGCATTCATCGGGGACTCATCAACGTCGAGAGCTTTTTCAGTGCTTTCATCTATATATTTTGATAGACTGTTAAAGTTATGATCATAACAAATAGAACCATGAAGATTTTTTTATGAGTAGACGGTGGAGTCAACTCGCTTTTTTTTCTTCTTAAACTTCTCATAACGACAATTTTACCAGATATGATAGCTATTTCGGGAACATTGTTTCGTAATTGGATTTTTTGATTGAGAAGAAGCGGTTTCCGATTGGAATTCAAAAAGTATTATACCTTTGATTTGAGTGTTATATTAAGACCACGCTCAAATTTCAATAGATCTCGTCATTATTATTTGAGCCAATATGTGATGTGGTCTGGTATGGGCTCTTGTATAGCCCGATACACGTGTTTCGACCTTACAGTAGTTTCGTCAGTTGGGCAGAACCCGTCGTCTTTCAATCTTTTTAATAGCCAATCCCCTCGGCAGCGTCTCTCCCTACAGAGAGGTATCGAAGGCGAACGATTTACACTGTATGTCAAGTGAAAATATCACTGAACTTGCAGTGTTTCACACTCGATTGCTCTTTAGCTGATTTTTTCTAAAAAGTATAAAGTATAAGTACAAACTAAAAAGTATAGCATTATTTTTGTTCTTCAAAGAAATCGTAGTAACACTACGTACTGGATAATCAGTGAGATGGAAAGAAAAATCAGTCTTTTCTTTTTCAAGATGGAAAACTGTGCATATTTTTCAGAAATTCGAATGAGAAATTATTTTTCCATAAATTTTGCTTGGAAAAATATCTGGTGAAATTAAACGCTTGTTGCGATTTTGAGTCTGACGATTGTTTTTCCTCCCTTGATCACCATACGCGTTAAGTGGGTGGGTAGTTCTATATTAGTGACAGCTTGTTTCCGCTTTGTTCTCCTTTTTTACCTTCTTTACATCTTTCCATTCTCGCTGTTTTTCCATATCCCTCATTTTCTATCCCTCTCTAAACCTCCCTCTGTCTTTTTCTCTTTTCAAGACCATAAATTCTATGTGGGTACAATTTTTCAATTGAATTTTTCCATCATTCACAACAACAACGAAAATCGATTTTGAGGATTCACACTTTTGCTTCAATTTCAGTTTGAGTTCTTCGTTATTTTTTCGTTCAATTTTGTGCCCTTTTTGTCAATTTTTGATTCATTATAAAGAAATAGTACACTTGATTTCAGTATCCATTCAATTAGTTCAAATGTTTGTAATGTGACAGAGGAATTAGCTAAAATGCCAGCTTGAAAACTTTTATTTTTGCTGAAAATAAAAAAATATTCTACTGCTTTAAAAGACTTGTTGGAAATGAGGAAATCGCTTTTCAGTATCCGACTTTTCCACTTTTTACTTACTTTTTGTGGGTTTAGATATTCTAATCATTTTGATTCACTACATGTAATGTTATATATCGGCTAGTTGGTATTGATCGCTTTTCCGAGCTCTTAAATTTATTAGTTTCAGTTTACTGATATGCATTTTATAAGCAAAGTTTTGGCTTTTCTTGAGTCGTAAACTACTCATGATAATAGGATTCTGATGGTCCACAAACGAGAATCATCGGCGTTGATGTAAAGCACAAAAGCTGTATTGATTTCTGACATAAATTTAATCCTAAACGAATCTCCCTACTAAGTAGGTCGCATTATCTTAGCTAACATTGTTCTGAGTAGATGAACATGAACTCCGCTATACCTCCGGTTGCAGGATAACGTCATGGTGGCTATTTTGGCGTTGAAGGGGTGTTAGTCAAGAATAGCTGATGGAACGGGGGCGCAAGCGATTATAATTAACAAAACAGTGGCTACAAATAAACTTTCAAGAGCACTACTCATCGAGAAATACTTATCTGACTAACTATTAAGATATTTTCGAGAAGTCCTGATTAGTTGCGTACTTACCTTAGCGGCATCTGATATATATACTTAACTAAAATTGGTACATTCAACGCAAAAAAAAAGAAAAAAACCGTTTCCACAATTTGTTCTATATGTCTTGATGTTACAGAAAAGATGTCTTGGCTTTTTTCCACATGTTTCATCAGCAGTTTTGATGCAGCCATTTTTACACTTATTTTTCGGTGTTCAAGTGTGATACTGTTTTCAGTCTAGATATCATTGACTCCAATCGTTTCATCGTTCCATAGCTTCAGTCTTTTGTGCTCCAGATGTTTTCTACCGTAGTACCTTTTTTAGGAGCGCGTGTAGCGCAGTGTTTGAAAAGTGAAATACCAACAGACGCAAGTTCGATCTCGCACCTTGGGCAACAAGTGTGCACCATCCCTTCATGTAATAATTGTCCGGGACAACTTAGAAGACACTGTCTTGTCATATCGGCATTTCCCTGAAAATCGCTTTATAGGCTAAAGTTTCAATCAATAATCTCTGAGGCACTACAAATGGAGTTGAGTACATGACGCCTTTCCTATGGGAGTCCAGAGGCCCAAAGGCTTCAAAGCCCAGAGTTTTATCCTTTCTATCCATCGAGTAGTTAATCGTTTAGTGTCACTGACGACTAAAAAAGTTAACAGGTAGCTGACCATACACGCCATCACGGGTGAAACTTCGGTATTATTCACTTATCTGTAGGGACTTCATCCTGATCACACTGTTAACTGTTTTTCTTGGTAGCGTCACCATCTCTTCGATAACTTTGTTAGATCTGATATCACTTTTGAACGTTATTTCTATCAGTTACTGCTTCGGCATCTTTAGAATAGCTTTAGCGGCTCGCCTCCCTCACTTCCATACTTAGAATCGTGCTGTACTTTCCTCTACGAAAACTAGCTACTCTTGATAATTTTTCTACTCTACTCAGTAGGTATGTTCCTTACCCAGAACTGTTTTGCCTTTCAATATTAATTAATAATAAATAATCTTCTTGCCGTATACTTCTCCATCTGAGTGTCTCCAACTCTGCTTGCTGAGCATACCGGGGAATTATAATTTTCCAAAGAAAAAGAAAGAGATTTATCAAATATTTGTTTTAACGCTCATATAATTACTGACTTCCCGCAGTAAGGTAGTTTATCGAGCAAAATTTATACACTTCTAACTCATGTATTATTCAGCTATTGTAAAAAAAATATGCTTTTCTTAGAACTACATCATTGGTAATTGGTATTTTCCATGCTATTTTTAGGACTAAATTATTGGTAAGTGGTAATTTCCATGCACTTAATTATATTTTCCATGGTATAGGTACTTCCCATCTAATAATGTATTTGCAAAATTATATTGCACGAAAATAATTGGTCATTTTATTTGACTGAAACTTCACGCCAGAAGGGACGTGCTCAGAGGTGCCTTACAATGTTCGTGTGGTGTCTGCTTTGACTTCTCCCCTTCCTCATAGTCAAGCCCACACTTTATTCTTCCGTAGTCAAAAATTCGGTGTTTGGTTTGTTTGAGAAATACCACGCACATCCACTCCGATTCCGGGGCAGTGGTGAGAGTAACGGGATGGATTGAGTCACGAGGTTATGCTGGATTAGGTGATTCACATTGAAATCATGCTCTTTATTCTTTTGCGGGGGTGTGTTTACGGATTGTATTCTACACATCGATTCATCCAAGCATGTAGTGCAAACAAGTGATTGAAAAGTACATAGGATACGATTCAAGTTGCCCTTTAACAAATAAACTCCTTTTCTATTTTGGACGGAAATGTAGAGCTAACTCTGACCAGTACATGGAGGTGCCAGTTCGGAATCATCGTTAACAATGAACCTCATGTAATATTCCTGAATAAAACAAAAAGTTGTGGCTCTTGTGAGTACACAAACCCTCAACAAAACAACCTTTACCTGCTTCATCTTCACTAACATCAAAGTAGTGAACTTGTTCTAATCATATAATAACGTGTTTTTGAGCCTTCCATGAGGCCTAATATTACACTTAGACAGCACTGGAGAGGCCTGTTTCGCTTTGCCAAGCTCATCAGTGGTACGGTGCTTTTCGATTCAGCCGATTCCTAGCAGGAAGATATACCCTTACTTATAAAGGAACCAACGCCGAGTTACTTGATTCACCGCGCGTCGAGTGACACAATCCCCCGGCATTACAGTGACCACAGTCGAGCGCCTGTAACGGGTAGAATAAATTTTACCTTTACTTTCGACTGTTTGCATAGACCTCACTCAAAAACAGTGAGAATCTGATAGCCTGACAACATGTTTTGCGCCTTTTCTTTGGAGTCTAAGTGTGGCACATATACAGTACTAGATAGTTGTTAGACTAGCTTTTTCCACGTAGGGGTAATTCCCCCTGCAAGGGGTCGCCTGAACCGAAAGGCACCGTACTAGATGAGCTTGAAAAGGCGAAATGGGTCTGTCTAGTACTATGCAGGTGCCATATTAAAACTCATGAAAAGGCTCAAGACATGTTATCGTATTATCAAGTTGATATTGCTTTTTGATCGAGGTCTATATAAACAGTCGAAGGCGAATTCATGAACTTCTTTATACGGATATTGTTAGATGAATCCAATAATGTAGAGTGGTCGAAATATTTGCGTCAGCTGGGATTCGAACCCAGATCTCACCATATGCGGGGTTACGTGTGGAGGAACCTTTGCAACACCGACGCCTTACTGCACTACTGAAAACATTCTCTCAGACTATTGTTAGATACTTTCCATATTCGGTCATGGAATGAGGTTTGCATATGACATGTGGGCCGTTCGGGACATGGATACGACTTTGTTGATATTCACTCGTTTCACTTAATGTAAAACAGAAGTAGAAGTTGCAGACGTAATGAATGGGCAAAATTGATAGATTAATTAGCTGATTGATGAATGAATGAGATCAGATGATTGATTGATGGCAGAAATGTTATGGAAGCGAAACAACATTACGCGGACTTGTGACCTCATGGTGTGTGTGTACAGGTGACTGGCACAAATGACACATTTGACGTAGTCAATGTTCGCAAGTGCACAATTTAAAAATAGACGTCTAAAGATATTTTTCAGTGAACGATCAAAGCTACTGAGGTTCATCATAGTCTGAGGGAATTTTCGGAAGGTTTTTGAGGGTGATGTGTCAGTGGCTTACGAATGTTTCGTAAGTTTGCTCGCCTCGGCAAAACCATTTGCTCCATCAGTCACCCTTGCTGAGACTGCCGAAACGTATGCAAGCCACTGAAATATCAATCTAAAGACTGAAAACATTCTCTTTGACTATACTCAGTGTGTATAGCGAGGTTTAAGAAAACAGTCGATTGAATGGCTATTGAGATTCCTTTGAAAAAACGTCACGAAAAATTTAGCCTTGGAAACTTTGCATTCCTCTGGAAAGGGACTTTCTTTTTTTATGGAAACGTTCCTTACAGTAAAGTAGTTATCCTTGTTAAATTCTATATTTTCCAGCCTCTGGAAAGAGACTTTTTTTTATGGAACCGTTCCTAACAGTAAAGTAGTTCTTCCCGTTAAATGTTATATCTTCCAGCTTTTTAAATCATTAGGTGAAGTATGGTGATGATTTACATCAACAACTTCTATTTTTACTTCATTTATCAGTCATCATCATCGTAGTTTAGCATACAACCACAGTCAGTGTACGACTTTAGTTCTTGGACGTGATTTTCTCATGTCAATTCTTGAGTAGGGTCGCGTAAACCCCTACGGCGATGCATTTATGGTGACTGCATTTTATTGAATTTCCATTATAGGCAGCCAACGCCCCCACTTTCTGGAGGTGTTAAGAAATTAAAAACTCGTCCAAAACCATATTTATATTCTAAATGGCGGCGCTAAATAGATTAGCTATTTCCACTGGTCTTGCTATCATCAGCATACTTTTTATAAATTTTGTTCCATCACGATCAGGTCACCCATGTTAATGGTTGCCTTATGGGCATGGCGACATCATTGTAAACGAATGTCCGCTAGTGATTCATAAATCGTTCGCAACAGCCAATACAGCTGGTTAGCGTGCGAGCCAGAAATATTTCCGCCCATCTTGTTGATGGTCATCATATGGGAATGCTTGAATCGTTTCTGACTCACGTTCGCATCTTTTCGTCTTTTCGTTCCTCACCACCTCTTCGCTTGGCATAGCTGACCCATCCAGTGGAAATTGTCTGCTCATCAGCACAGTCTTCAGAGGTACCTCTACCGTATATACTTGGACGTAGCTTCGATTGCGCGTTCCAGGTTCGCCAAGAGCCGTTCATCCCTCCGGAGTCAGGCGATTTGATAGTAGATTTTTACAAAAATTAAACGCACTGATTAGTTGATACGTCCGTAGGTCACCGCAATCTCTGTATAGATCACATAAGCCTTCATTAACCTCTAATGATGCTTAATGAAGTCGAATGCATGGTGCATTCACCAACGATTTGTCAACGTAGAAAGCTTCGTCATTTCTCATAAGTTTGTTGACATTATAGCAATTTTTTGAGACAAACCTTATTAGCAATCTTCAGAGGAATACACCCAAATCAATAATCTCCGAAAAAGACTTTTACTAAACCTCGTCAAGAAATGAGGATCAAAGCCTCTATTCGGCTGACGTTTCGATTGTAGACGAAAATGTCGAAACGTAAGTCAATGAAGGTTTTTATACCAACCCCGTGTAAGCTCATTCACGCGAAAAAATTGATTATTTCTAACGATGTTCAATCAAAATCACTTTTTAGGACATTCTGGTTGCTCCATGTGTTAATCGTGCTTATGCCAACTGCTGCAAGATAGATTATCGGCTTGAAAAGCAACTATTATCACTCGGCAATCGCTAACAAAAATTAAGCATCCTGTACAAGACGACATCATAGAGTGAGGTAACTTCACTCGAGCAGCACTCCGAGGAAATCGGGAGTCTTACTGCAACTATGAACCACCAGGAAAGAACGATCGACTCGACCCTTGTCTATGAAAAAGGCGAAGACGTTGGAAACGTTAGCCGAATATAGATTTGATATCAACCTTCTGTAAGCTCAATCATGTGAAAACATCTTTGCATACAGAAATGTCTAACATCTCACTATTGTATGTTGTTCACACGATTGTTCATCTCTTTTTTATATTGATATCAATCGCTCTTCAATTGCCAAGATTCTGTAGTTTTTTTTTTCTTTTTTGAGTGAATTCGTCGAGATGACAAATACGTTCGGAAGCAACGGAGGCTTTCCATTAATGTTTGCACAGTTCCAGTTTTCCAGTTCGCTTGCTTCTCCTCTGCCTATTATTAGTAAAAGCCAATGTGTTGCGATTTGTGAATGTACGAACCATGACTGTAAAGTTCAGTGAAAAAATTTCCGCCTCGGACCACTATGACACATGATTACGGTGCCTGCATTACTTCTCAGCGTTCAGAAAGTACTGCATACAGTACTGCGTTAAATCTCGCTTCCGAGTCTATTCAAATCATCAAGCACTGATGGCTGGCAGTGATGGGTGTGTGATAGCCATCCAGATGATTCCGGACAAAACGGCGAGTACAATCGCCACTATCGATATGATAACTCGTTCCTATTCTATGGATCATCACAGTTTTTCTACGCTTTACTGACCAGAGGCGGCACGGCATGTTTTCGCTTCTAATTTGCGTATCAAATCTACACACATGACCATTGCATATTCAGCATGAGCCAGCGCCCTACTTCCTTGTGCTATTCAGCCTTCTTGTTGTGTATTTTTTTCTCATTTTTTAGCTATCATTGATTGATTTTGCACTGAGAAACTCGTCATAATTTTGTACGCAATTTCAATCTGTCGCTAGTACGAAGCCTAGTTATTTCTCCATGAAAAATTTCTGTTTCAAGCGAAAAATCATCAACGATCCATACCAATTTGATCAAATATTAAACACTCTTTGAAACTATTGCCGCGTGTTTTTTTAGAGTACAGTGAAAAGCCAAAGGGAGAAAAAACACCCGTATGAACTTGAACATCTTGAGGTCTTGAATTCTATTGAACATATTGTATATTAAACTCGTCTCAGCTAAATAACGGCACCCATAAGTATCCTTCTGCACGGAATTTTCAGAGAGTCTCTCAATATTCACACAATGTATTTATGATATCTCAAACGCCAAGTAGTTCTTTTCGCCCTCTAATGAAATTTTTTGTGCTTTTTGCTCATCTTTATTCATGAATTTTTTCGACAGGGATTAGCGAAAATTTATGAGGCATTCTATTGTGCGGAATTCACGGAACAAAAATGAGAAAGCGGCTTCTTTTATCAGCACAATCAAAAAATAAAAGCGTTTCTAAAATGAGGCCACCATTTATAAGAAAGAGAGTTTCGTTGGAAGCATCTGTTTGCTAGTTACAGCTTCGATGATCCAACAATAAAAAACGCCTTTTCCTAGGACTTCTCAAAGTTTTTTCTGCTTTTAGGTATTCTAATGATAAAAGTAGCTTTATGTCAGTCAAGTTTTTGTCAAATCATCGCGATGTCAAGTTGTGCCATCCTATGAATAATTCAAGGGAAAATCAAGTAACTGGACATTTCTAGAGTGCTTTTTGAAGATGAGTGCAAGAATGTGGAGAGAAATACTAATTATCACGTGATATATCTATTACTGTTCAATGACATCTGGAATATTTTGGTGGGGCGGCTTTCCAAGTTTCGTTTATGAAATCGTCGAAGCAATAAATTTAAATATGTCTCGTCTGCATAACACTGACAAGTCTTCGTCAAATGCGTTTGTCCCTGATTGACGAAGACGCCCGAAAACTCGGGTGAAGAGGCGGGACGAGACTGGAATCAGTGAGGTGTGGAGGATCTTTTCTGAAAACCTACGAGACATTCGTCACTGCTTTTCTATCATTTCAAGAAAGCTGAATTGGGTCTCTGGATATAAAAGGAACAAACCTGCACTGTTTGGAAAATTATGGGGACGGGGGCTGGAAGTATTTGGAGACAATGTCAACAACTTGACTAGGTCTTTTTCTAATTTTGTCCTTTAGGCCCTTGTTCCTTATCACCGATATAAAAATATTCATTACTAAACCTACTTTGTTCTTTCTTACATCTCCTTTGAAATGGACTTGAGCTAGAAAAAATGCAGAATTACTTCTGAAGAGAATTGCAAAATGCTCTATTCTCTCTGGATGTATGATCTGTGGGATTTTAATGATTTATCTGCAAAGAGCAGAGAATCAGAACCATGAGAGGCATCCAGAAACGATTTGGAGATTATTTTTCACTTCATCAATACCGTTCCCGAAAATTATGAGGTCACAACTGTTTTTAATACTCCCCTTCTATCACTTAATCATCTGAGATTCTTTTATCTCAGGTTTAGTTCATTTTTCCATTATGGAAGCATGAGCAAAAAGAGATGGCTTCTTTTTCTTTTACTTGAGTCTAATTCTGCCTCGTTCTCTTTTCTAATTCTCTCCCTCTCTCTTTCTCTTCCTTTCCCTCTTTCTAACTTCGACTAGCCTTTTGCTTCTTCGAAAAGTTTCATACCTTGATTATTTTTCACTGATCTAAAATTATGTATTCCTGTCAAATGTTTTTGCCTACAAGAAAGCCTGCACAAATTCTTGAATTAATTTTACTGAATGAGTGAGACGAAATCGATGAAGTTTAATAGGTACGCGCTACCGTAGTTAGTAGTTAAAAGATTTGTAG